TATTTATCTTCCTTAAAGACTTGATCGTCGAACGTTATATATATATATATATATATAGTATATCTTTCTTACGGCCTCTACATTGTGTACGTATGTGGCTATTTCGCGCAAGAAAAGAGATTATGTAAAGGCGCCGTATGGAATTTACATATATGCATGATTACGCGATACTTGGCTATGTATGTAGTGTTATTACTTCATTGGCATGGCTCACGTTTAGAAGTGGTAAACCGCAAATTACCTCTTTTCCGGATTCATCGCTCGCGTTGTATAAAATAGGGAAGCGATCGATAATCCCGCCGCGATCCTTCAAAGTCTCTTTGAAAATGGGCAATACTTCTTTATAGAAGAACATCTCGCGTTGAAACATATTTGTGACGTTACTGCTAGATAGAGCTTCGCTGGTGTCCAAAGTTCGCGTAGTTTTGAGAATAAGCCCAGTTTTCTTGTCCTCGCCATCTTCAGCGACGCCCTCGATCGTGACGCGGCAGACGAGGCTAACGTAATTATCACCGATGTTGGTGCCCTCAGTTATGTGAAATTTTGGGGCCAATAACTTGATGCTTTTTGCGTATGCACGCAAATAATCGTGCAATCGCTCGTCTGACACAATTTTCTCATCTGCCATTTTTTTTTTCCCCCTTTCCTGCCTGTTGATGATCTTTATCTCACGGAATCGGGCGGATGTTGCTTATGTTTGTTCCTTACGACAGAGTTCAGTAATGCTCTAAGCTTTATTTCAAATCGTCGAGATATCGGAATCGAATTGTCTTAGTACGCGACTGCTTACACCTCGATGATAAGAGAACGATTACTGAAATGATCGTTGAAAAGCATCGCTTATATTATTTCCGTGTTATCGCATTTTTAATTTCGTTCTACTGAGCAAGTTATGAAGATTACAAAATGTATACACGGTAATTTTTACCTAATTCATCGCTGAAAGGAGTCCCATGTATACGCAGCTCTGTGCCATTTTTCACAATTCTTAATCTTCTTCCTCTCTCTTCCTTTTTATATTTGATTTTAAATAAATGATTCAATGTCTATGATGAAATTATAAATTATATGTTCTTGTACCTGTACATTAAATATTATAGGTTGTTCACCTTTAACTTTACTTAGAATGAAAGGCGCCCAGAGGATTATGGTTTGTCGCTTACATCTGTTATTTTTACACCAAACGCGCAACAGAGAAAGGAAGGAAAAGAGAGGAGTGTGAGGAGTGGCGAGATACTGACCACCATTTCTCCAATTAAAGTGCCTTTGCCCGTTTCAGTTGAGAAACGGTATTTCCTACGGTATATATAGTCTACTTTAATCTATTTTATATATATATATATAAAATATATATATAAAATCCTTTAAATATATATATATATATATATATATAGGTATAATTTTTCAATTTAGCTATTATAGAAGAAATATCTTTATCCGTTTAAAAAAACAATATACAACAAAATATTAAAAAATATGTAACAAACTACAGTAGATGACACAATTCTGTATAATCACTTCTACTTATTTACTCATCTATGTACACGTGCAAATTGTTCGTAAAATCCTTTTGTTATCGGAATAGATAACTATCTTAATCGATCCAAACAATGTTGCAAACACTTCGACCCGCTCACTTTACTAGATAAAAACGCGCGGCAATTTTATACCCGCAGTAGAATAAGAAGAGAAATTCTCAAGAAAGAGATCTTCGATTTAAATAAACAGAAAGTAGGCGAGGAGAATCCCGCGTTTCTTATCAAAAAGTATGAAAAACGATGACGATTGACATGAACGGTTCTCGTAGTTTTAACCGGTTTGGAGAGGAACAATTGATAGCTTATTTCGTGGTGTTGGTCAAGATCTTTACGTTTCAGTGCGGCAGCACTCGTATACGGTGTGACCCTATACAATTTACGAACCTACCAACTTATATTAGCCGCTTGCGTAATCGTGACTTTCATACGTTGTACTTTCGTTTTCGAAAGTATGATATAATTATTTAGATAGAGGAATCCGATGGAACAAAAAAAAAAAAAAAGAAAAGAAAAGAAAAGAAAATTATCACGTCGGTGCATTTCTCGCGGAAGCGTCCGGAAAACTTCCACGTTAGCGGGAAGCCGGTAGAATAATTGTGGAAAATACGGCTTATCGAGACCCTTCGGAATTCTGGGAACGTATTGTTATTAATGAGATGGCGTATTGCCCCATTTAATTTTTTCCCCCGACAGGTATGCGAGGTCAATTCTCGCGAGAATATTCCTCATTCCTCGTTTATTCTTTATTACAACGAATTCTATTTTTCCTCTTTTTTTCCTTTCTCCTCAGTATCCATTTGTGCACTTATTCTATTTTACTCTTTCGCCGGCATAACGCGGGATTTTTAAGCACCTTATCAGTATTTTGATTGTGTGCGAACTGGTAAGATAAATTTAAATCTAAAAATACAATCTGACTTCTACGATAGAAGTTACGAGAGTCAAAACTCGTTGTTAAAGCCCCAAGTAGAGCAACAAGTCATTATAATATCAAAATAATGTCAAGACGACTCCAATTGATGACTCTAAATTTATGGGGTATATGTTTATATTATTAAAAGTCATTTTTAATCATTTCCGACTCGTTTTGACATTATCGTGACTTGTCCTGCTTGAGGCTTTAACAAGTATACAAGAATTTTTTAAGATTTTCATATAATTCGAAATAATAAAAAGTTATTTTTGTTTCTCGAAGACACTTATTTCAGACGAAAGAGTTAAGAAAGCGAATAATTAACGTTGGATTCGTGAGATATTAAACAAATAATAAATAAAGAAAAAACGGGCAATTAAAACATTAATATGCGATAATTAATACGATTATCTTATAAACATATATTTCAATCGTACATTTTGCATAAAAACTAAACGTTCCGACTCAATTCGAGCCATCCTCAGCAGTCTCAAATAATAACAATTCTTGATAGCCATCCGATAATCGTAATCCAAGAAATCGAGTGCAACAAGTCTCACAAATTACCAAATCTGGAGTATATATAACCATCAGTTAGCTATTTAACTAAATGCGAGATAAATGAAAAATAATATCATTCAAAAGAACTATTACTAAAAAGAAAGGAAACAAAATCTTATGGAGACTTACCCCAATCAGAACAACAAGTCATTATGATATCAAAATTATGTCAAAATGACTTCAAAATGATCATTAAAAGTTATTTTTCAATCGTTTCCGATTTATTTTAATGTCATTTTGACGTTGTCGTGACTTGTTATTTTGCTTGGGACCTATTGCACCCCATAACTGTGCACAATAATATAAAATAAATTACATTAAGATTGACAAAACGGATAAAATTACACTAAATTTCTTGTGAGAACATAACGTTTGCAGTGTCAACGCGGAATCACGTATATAAATGAGCATTAAGAAATAAATATTATAAGAATGGGAACAACATTGCCAGAGGAATAGAATTGAAAAACAATGTAGATAGACACTTAAGTATAGTTATAACAATCAAAAGAATTAAAATTTATTTATTAGGTTCGTATAAGCATGGTGCAAGAACTCTGTGTCTGATTTCAAATTTAAACCGTTGTCTTGCAATTATTTGATATTAAACATTTTGGACACTAATTTTTTTACCCAGATATCTTTCATTATCAAAAATTTTGGTGTTCATCCAAATTCATAGTCTAATTGTAATCTATGTTTGGAAGTGACAGACAAGTTATCGCTTCTTTCATTAATGTTATTTTTATGTTCGTTGATTCCAGTCTTTAACTTAACTCGTCTGTCCCACGTAAGAAGCATTACAATTTTTACAATTAATCTTGTAATCACATTTTTTTTTCGACTAAAGAGGAAGAACGTTTTTTTGTGCTTTGATGATTCCGTTAAGTTTATTTAAACTGAAGAAGGACAGTTTGACATTCAGATTTTTAATGATACTCTTAAATTTGTCTGAAACTTGTAATTATTTTGAATTTAAACTGAGTTTTTTATTTTTTTTTTTTTCAATTTTATTTTTCTTTATTTGTAATTTATTCTTTTTAATTGTGCGACAATTAAAAAAATGTATTTGACTCTTACTTTACCCTTTATTTATTGTTATTTGTTTTGTATAGGAGGAATCCTTCTATCTGTTAAATACTTAAATTTGTCATAAATGCAAGGCAAAAATAGAGAAACACGAAGTTGTTTTATTGTCATCGTTAGGTTTGTCTGTTCGTTTTAGCGTCTTACATTTCAAAAGAGACCTCAGTCGTAAATTAATCGTGTCAAAAATAAAATTAATAGGGTAATCGTCGTCCAAAAATGTCTTAATAATAAAATTAAAATTATCCCTATGGTATTTTGGATGAGATAGTAAAAAAGTTCTGTCCACCATGCCCCATAAGAACACTTCTCTTTTGTGAAAGCGGACTCTTTCGGGAAAGAGTTAAAATTTCATATTGCCGGCGGAGAGTTAAATAAAAAGTATATAACAGGGCCGAGGTCATCTCCATTCGTACATACATTTCCGACTTCGCGTGAACAACATTATTATTAACTTTTAAACGTTACTGTCAGTTTGCTACGCTCAATGTTCGCATAGATAGCGCCATTGAAAAAAAAAAAAGGTAGATAGTATCGCGATCCCTACAATTTACTCGTTTCTCAGCATCGTTCCAGTGCAACTTCGTTGCGTTACTAAGCCTCGCGACGTGTCCGATGTTCGTTCCGTATACGATGTGATATTATGACATCTCCCCCTCTCCCTCCCGTTGATTTCATTTGCAAGATGACACTTCAAACCTCGTGATCGCAGCCAGAGTCTGTTTGTCGGTCGAATCGGTCCGTGGGGCCGTTGACACGATCAATGGATTGCGATTACGAGGTTCGAGATATCCTCTCGGATCGCAATTCGCGAGCGGATCTCCTCTGGGAGGGGGGGGGGCTCCGGGGAAGCTGAAGGAGGGAGAGATCCGTTTTTTCCATCGATTCCCGATTGCTCAACGGTCGAGAGGCACATAATAATCACGGAGATTGTATCATAGCGGGTCGGGATATTTCAAGGCGATATACAACCATTCTCCGGCTCGCGCCGATTCGGCCTTACTCCAGTATTCTCGATGTAATAAACGAACGAGCGAGACTTCGCCCGCAGCGAGTTAAGTTTCCCGGCGCTCGCCGTCGCTCGCGTTCCTTCTCGCTTCTTTCAAACCGCCCGGGCGCATAGCCGCAAATAAACGGCGCAAACGAACCGGTCGGATCGATCGTTAGCGAGAGAGAATCGACGTTAATACGCCTCTACTCCTCTAGCGATAATTTCCTTTTCCTTTTCTAATTTGTCTTTACTCGCGCGGTCTCCTCGTCGACTCTGTCCCCTCCCGCTCCCCTCCCCTCTCCCCTTAGTTAATTCCCCTGATTCACTTTAACGCGTCTCTACCTCTCTATTCTTTCCACTTTCCCTCGTTATCTTCACCTTGTAGCACGATCCTCCGGAATTCCGATACATTCGACGTGCATTGTCGATTACGGTGCACTGCGGCGCGGAATTATGTTTGCAAGCATATCATAAAAATATTCACGTGATTTTTCATTTACGTCAGACTAGCCTCGACTAGTCATCATCATGTGAGTCGAGATCATAGACCATTTATATTATCGCCGTGACGTAACGTAATGCAAGCAGGACAGTGTGTACTTGAAATCATAAATTGTAGCATTGCCTTTTCACGCCTACATTTTATGTTTGAGTTATTGAAATAAATTTCAATGATAATTTACAGATGACGGAGGAAGATTAGAGGCAGTTGATTTTTGTATAACACAATATCGCAGATCGTACTGATTGAAGAAATACGCGGAGTACTTTCGGAAAAGTTTTTATCTTAAAAGTTTATAGGTCTTTGATTTGAATTTTTTTTATAAAAGATATACGATTAAGATATTAAAAATAGGTTATCTGGGTGAGTCAATCATTTACATCTAACATTCGCTTTAGCGAAAATAGAAATGGGAGCGAATTGAATGTAAGGTTAACAAAAGAGCGTAAAGAAAATATTTAATAGAGGACATTTAATTAATAACTTTTCCTTTACATTTCGTTGTCTCAATTCTTATCTCATAGAAACTTCGTTTATTTATTTGTTACACTCTCTCTCTTTCTCTCTCTCTCTCTCTCTCTCTCTCTCTCTCTCTCTCTCTCTCTCTCTTCACATTTAAGATTTTCTAATCTTTATTTTCACTAGAATGTCGTTGAATGTTCAAAAACACCGCAATTCGAAAATATTCTTATGTTTCTCGATCTCTTTGATTTTCTGCATGCTAGTATGCTACAGAATTCGTTGGCATCTGATTTATGTTTTAAGAACAAAAAACGTCACGACGATGAAGGAAGCCAGATACATTTAATTTTCATAATTACACACAGTTATTCAAGAGGAAGTTGTAACATTGATGTAATGTTATTTGTATTCTGTGGGAGTTGTTAATTAAAACCTCTCACTCTTAACAATATAATATAATGTAATGTAACAATGTAATGTAACATATAACAGTTATATAACAAGTAACAATTATATTGTTAGATGGAAAATTATATACGTAACAATTATGTTACTGTTAGTTGACTGAGTGTCTGCTGAGAAGTTTTTGGAAAATTTTCATTTTCATGTTTGACAAATGTTTCATTTTGATCTTTGCAGAAAGTATAATATATTACGTAGAAATACCAGACTATATATCATGCAGGTGAGGTTTCACTGAAGAAATTCAGCGTTGAATTTTTCAAAGTACAACAAACCAAAAGACTGCACGCTCTCTCTCTCTCTCTCTCTCTCTCTGCTTCTCAATCTCTGTATTGCAGAACGATCTCGTGTTGGCGTTCGCCCCGTAAAGGGTTTCTGAGAACAAAGCGTTACGATAATCGCAGCGAAAAGAGATTCGAAGCGGGCGGAGTGTATATGTGTGTGTGTATACGTGTGTATTTCCTGAATGAAAATCCATAACCGGATGGCGACGCAACGCGGTCCCCTTTCATTCCGGCCGGCACTCTCGGTTTCGTTTTCTGCAAAGGTTCCCGGCCGCAACTCGGTGCTCACGGTCTACGCGGCAGCGTAGTGTTACGGTACGGGAAAGGTTCTCCAGGGTACCACGGGGTCTTACACCCCACCCTTTCACCGCGTTCACCGCCACCTGTACAGGTCGACCGGGACTGGAGAATGGGACCAGGACCGCCGCGCTGGTTCTCCAAGTTGAAAAGGAATGGTAGTGAGAGTCCGAGAAGTCCACAGCGGTAGCGGGGGAGGAAAGGGTTTCACGAGCGGCTGTCGCGATGATCGAGTACGCTCGCTCGCTCGCTCGCTCGCTCGCTCGCCGTACGTTCGCGTGCGCGCGAACGCGCGGCCACTTTAATGTGAAAGTAAGTCTTACAGTTGACCGAAAACTGCGTGCCCGTCGTGCTCTCGTCGGCTATCCACGACCGACGTGCCATGCCGTAGCGTGTTGTTCCGTCCGATCCGATGCGATGTGCATACCCGTACGGCTCCAATCGATCGGTTCTACAGCCGTAGTCGACACGCTGTAAAAAAACAAAAAACAAAAAAAAAAAACAAAAGAGGAAAAGATAAAAAGAAAAAGGGAGATCCGCTCTAATCGCTTTGCTAATTAATTACCGTATCGACACGCTAGTTGACTCATCCACGGTACACGCAATATTTCAATCACGACTCCTCAACTTTCTATTACATTTTGTCTGACGTTGTTTCGTCACAATCAATCTCGATCGTCAGCTAATTTTTGAAGAATTCTACCTACAGGATAATACGAGAGCGACATTAACAGCGAGGCTGCGAGAAGGAAGGAAAAGAAAGAAAAGGGAGAAAAAAGGAATAAAAAAGGAAAAAGTGAGAGATACATAAAATTTCATGCAAAGATCGTCGTTTTTCAACCAAACAGTGATAAGAATTGGCTGCCTAAGCCTACAACGTTTAGTGAAGTGAAGCTATCTCGATTAAATTGGATATCTTTCCTCATGCAATAACGCAAAGTTTATATGGCATTTTCGTACTTTTATTAATTTCTTGCTTTATAAAAGAAAGTGCAAGTGCGCATGAATATTAAAACTATCTTTCCGTTTTAAGTCTAAGAACTCTTCTATTAAAAATAATAAGACAAGTAGTGATTGTGCAACGCGGAAAATCATATTCGGATATATAATAATAATATTAATAATAATAATTTATTTTTCTATTTTTTTTTTTGAGTGAAAATCGCTCGCGATGCGTTGACGCATTTTTAAAAGATACACGTCACGTTTATTCTATGTATTCAAGTTGCGTACGGATCCGTGCAGAAAAGTTTAAGAGATTTAGCATAAATCAGATTCCTTGTATGTAATTATAATGTATGGACGAGAGTTCATCGTATAAATGAATCTTAATTACGGCTTCATTTATATCCGTGCGGCACTATGTGATAAATCAAAGTGTACGTGCAGCAAGTGAGTGTGGACCAGAAGTTAAATGTATATTCACGCATGTGACGAGGCTAAACAAAACGGAAGAAAGGAAGGAAGGAAGGAAAGTCGGAAGCGTACACGGATTCGCGCGTATTCCGTTTTTTTCATCGGACTTCTCGATAAATCGACTTGATTGTAAATGAATTTTTCGTTTAATGTACCTGTCTACGTAACTATGCGCTCACGTCTCCAAACGTAATCGCGTCGATCGTTGTGTTCGAGGCTTTTTGAAACTACTTTACGGTTTGCAGGACATTGTAATTATGAAACAAACGGTGCTCGTTATCACTTGCGTTTTGGGCTTTGTCTCAGCGGGAAGTCCTCGATTACCTCGAACATCCGCTGATCAGCGTGGCACGCGTAGTGCAAGCCATAATAATACCGGCGCAACGCTACAGCCGTCCTCACGCAATTTGCAACGAAATAGGTGAGAATATAGAGAGGATGCCATTGCATCCTAATTTTTTCTTCTCTTTCCATTTATTTATTTATTTATTTTTTTTTTTTACTCAAACGAGAACATCTCGATTTTATGCGACGGATAAAGTGCGAAATGAACCGTAATAACAGATCTTATAAACGGGAGAACTGAACAGTTAACCGCTCGTTACGTAAACCAGTCGATCATACTCCCAAAGCTTGCCGATATTTCGCTTACGAAACTTTCCATTTAGTTTGCGAATGTATTCATAACCGTGCATCACGCGATGTTGTAGCTTCACTTTAATGACACTAAATGTGATGTATCTTCAGTAGAGCCATGGAGAGTCGTTGCAAATGTTTGATTCACGGTACTATAATGAGTCTTTTTCATTTAATGCAATGACGATTGGAACGATTGATAATTTTTCAAATGACAAATTTATTTACTGCCGTTATTAATCAAATTACCAATAATAAACTTATTAATGAAAATTTATTTATATATATATATACAAATAATAATAGTCAGGAAAAGATATTTTATCAAAAATACATATATATGTAAATAATAAATATTAATAAATATATATCATAGAGAGAGAGAGAGAAAGAGAAAGAGAGAGAGAGAGAGAGAGAGAGAGAGAGACATTTAAACGATTTATTTTATTATTGGAGAATCTGTGTGGTAGACAGTCGTATATATATTCTGGTATTAGCAATGATATGAAGTAACACAATTAGAAGACAATAAATTAATTATTTGTTGTAGAGAGCAATACCTTTTCAACGTCTTTGAAGTAATAGTATCAACTTTGGAGTCCAAGTTACAGCGAATCGAGAATTTAGATAAGGCAGTGGAGCATTTGATGAGAAGAGTAGAGGCTTTAGATTCACGTGTAAACGATAATATTGACAAAACAGATGCGGTCATTACTAAACTTAGAACGTTAGATTTGAAGCTTTTCAATGCGTATCCTAGCATACCCGTGGAAGTTGCAACGAGGATTACCGAAAGTAAGAGCGGAAGTCATACAGAAGATAGTAAGTATGTGATACATATCTTCACGGATTTTATATTTTATATCTGGTTATTTAATCGGTCTCGATTTCTTTTTTCGCTTATGACACATAAAAAGGAAAAAAATGTATCAGGCTGTTTTAAAATATTTATTAAGAAATATATATATATATAGAGCGATGTGCGTGCAAGGGAAATGAATCAAGTTTCTTATTAAAAAAATAAAGCAAAATAAAAGATAAGCTTCTTATTTAGAAATAGCATATTTCATTTTTATTACATTGTGCAAATAAATTGAAGATAACGTAATTGAAATCAAATTATATTGCAATGTTTAACTAAAATGTTACAGTTCCATTAATACGTGTGATTCATCATGATCAAAACGATCAAGCGCCAGAAACTCTCGGCGAAAAATTGGTTTCTCTGGATCAGAAAGTTTCCGATATCGATCATAAGCTTGTCAATCTTAAGAATCAGCTCGACAACAATTTTTTACAAAATGATGATATAAATGCCGAGGCGAGTGAAAAGAAGCCCGTTAGTATGAGCGTCATTGAGATTACCAAGGCTATGAGTAACGAAGTGATGAACCATATGACGCTTGAGATTGAGAATCTTAAGCAAGCGACAGGTAATATGGATCGAAAGCTTCAATTCCATATGAATTTAGTGTCGGATAATCTCGGAGCGGTGTACAATATGATTAGTGATGTGCACGAAGCTATTGTCGAGAAAAATAATGAGAACAATCGGCATAATCGTCTTAATTTAACAACAACCGAAGCCCCGACGAAACAAAGCAAGATCGATCGTCTTGCGGAACAAATGTATCCGATGCTTACCGTTTCTGAAAAAATGGATCAAGTTTGGAATGTAGTGGTGAGTTTTAGTTAAATATGAAATTAACAATAACATTTTACTTTCGGGAGTGCATTAATGTTGTTAGAGAACTGATATTACAATCAGTATAATATATTGCGCATAATAACATAAAAAATAACATGATATTAATTTGAATAATATTAGATGGGAACGAAAAGTTCAGTGGACGACTTGCTGCCAAAATCCGACGAATTACTTACTCAGACTCAAAGGCAAGAGAGAGCGATTAATGAAATTCACGCTGATCTAAGATCAAAAACAAACAAAATTATCGAAAATCTTGAAGGCGTTGAAAGCCGCTTGAGGAAACAAGAGGATGATGTAGCCACTCTCGCTCAACGTCCGATTGCGGCCGAATTGTTATTAGATCCAACGATCGATCGGCTCGTTGAATATGATCCAAGCAGGTAAACATTCTTTATATTAGATAATTTACAAAATGATTATCGAGAATTACGTAATGACTATCATATTTGCAACAGCGTTCGACTTAAGAAATAGTGACGATTGCACAATATAATTGTTCTTCAACGAAATCTTTCCTCCAATTCAAAGTATTTTCCATAATAGAAGAAATATCTAATAAGTCAAAACGAAATAAAGTCTTATATTGTTTATTCCAAGATACGTCAGCGTAGCCGAAGATTTTGTAACGGAGATGCCCACATCTACGCTATCCACTGCTTCACCGTCCTTATCAACTACAACATCGATATCATCCGTCGCTTCACCCTCAAATAATCCTACTTATAGTTCCACGACACCTATGACTACATCTTCGAGTACCGCGAGACCAAATAGCAGAAATCGAGGAGTGATATTCCCGAGTGTTAAAAATAAACCGAGTTTAGCAAATTCTACTTTTACAAGCGACATATTAATTAATTATAAGGATGTCAAGGTATTTTAATATTTAATATTTTGTGTACTTTTCTTTATTTACAAAGCATGATCGTCTCGTACAATGTAAAGCGTGTCATAGCTTATAGTAAAAAAAAAAAAGATTTATAAAACATTATTGCCGAGAATGTTAATGTTTAAAATATTTTAATATATTTTTTTTTATTTGATTCTTATCAGATATCTTTGCGAGACTTATTTCAGAGAGCAAAAGAAAAAGATTTTGATAATATCCATAATATGTACCCGACTTTTTATTTTTTTTTATTATCTTCTGCATTTTGAAATTTCAGGGTTATTCTTGCGTGGATTTATTAAACGGAGGAATGAGAGACAGTGGGGTATACTATCTACAAATACGCGGTACAACATATTGGTTCCTTAAAGTTTATTGTGAACAGGAAGTTGCTGATGGTGGCTGGACGGTGAGTTTATTATTGACATTAAATATATATATAATATATACATTAACTTTAATTTAAATGACGATAATAAAATAAAAATTATTAAATTTCATTACTTATCAAAAAATGAAATTAAAAAAATGGAAGAAAATCACGGACTTCTATATAGAGAAGACATATAATAATCGATAAATACTGTTATATAATGATCGATTAATTAATATGAACACATTTACATACGTGTCTTAAATATTTGTTGTAAATCGATTTACAACAAATTTTTATTTTTAAAGGTTATTCAACGAAGAGATGATTTCGGAGAACCAAGAGAGAATTTTAATAGAGATTGGGCAGATTACAAAAATGGATTTGGAGATCCCGCTAAAGAATTTTGGCTAGGCAATGAAAATATATATATGTTAACAAATAATGAAGATTACATGCTCAGAGTTGAACTTGAGGACTTCGAAGGTAACAAAAGGTATATGCCTAAACTGTAGATTAATTATAGCAGCTTTTTTTTACTATTGCTAAAGGGTACTAATAATGTGCATGTAGCTTTACAGTTTCCATATTGGAAATAGATTGCGCAGATATAAATTGAAATCGATCGAATATAATTATAATTTCATTTTATTAGGTATGCGCAATATTCGCATTTTAAGATTTATTCAGAGGGAGAGTATTATAAATTGGAGATAGATGGGTATGAAGGAAATGCCGGAGATTCATTGAACGATCCTTGGTACGGATCAAACAATAGTCCATTTTCTACGTACAACAGGTGAGATATTATATATCTTATATAATAAATAATACAAAAAGTTTATATGACGAATGAAATAAATCTTGTTATATTATCGTAATTATATGTGAAATCATATATGCCATAAGAGTTTATTGGATTTAAAGATATATTTATGCTTTTAGGGATAATGACAGATCATCCTTGAATTGTGCTTCAATGCTCAAGGGTGGTTGGTGGTGGAAGTCTTGCGGACGTGGATTAAATGGTCTTTATATAAATGATCCACAAGATGTTACTGCACGACAAGGTATGTTCATAAGTCGCTAATGGAAATATTAAAATTAAAGTAAATTTCAATCTTCTAAATTAATTAATAATAATTAATAAAACAAATATCATAAATTGTGGAAAAATTAAAATTAAATTCTCAATCGGTATTCACAAATAAAAATTTGCTGTTATACTAAAGGTATCGTATGGTTCCGTTGGAGAGGTTGGGATTATACTCTAAAACGTGCATTGATGATGATTAAACCAAAAGGACTAGCAACAACGACAACGACAACAACGGTATAAATATTGAAATTAAAAGTTTGAAACGTTAACTTTGAAATTTCTTACGCGATCATTAAATAACAACCTTGCACATAGTACTTAAATTATGTATTACAAACGCATAAACACGCTGTAATATAAATTTTAAAGCACCGTTTTTAATTATTTTTCGTCCACTAAGTATATCCATGTTAAATTTAAAAATATTGCAACTCAAATTTTATTTGTATTCGATATAGTAAAATAATTATTGCTCAATAAAAATTATTTTTCAATCAGATCTCATATCAATTTACCGTTATTTCAAATACAAAATATAGAAACTTGGAAGGATGATTTAGAAATTGGATTATGGAAATAAAAAGTGTTTGAAAAATTCAATACTGTAGTTTAAATTTAACGATTTATTAAAACTATTTATAGTTATTATAATTTAAAGAACAACTTCTTATATATGTCTCGTTTTATATCTTCGACATATATTTGATCAATGTGAAATTTTTTCAATTCCATAAAATAAAATTTTGTAAAGCTCGTTTTTACATTTCTCTTTTTTTTTAAATGGAATAGAATTGCGTGGCGGTAGAAGATTGCATTTCTATTTGGCCCATCTTAAACTGTAAACGATGTAACCATCGTAAGAGTATCTCGTTTGATTCTCTTCTATTAGTAACGAAATTTTCCGCCATTTTATTCGGTGGGAAATCGCGGCAATTTTGCAACCGCATTTGTAAGTGTCCTGGTAGCTAAAAAATGAAACAAGCCAACAATTGGTCACCGTACTTTATCTTACTGTTCCGATTGTTTTATCTCCAATTCTGTTCTTACTTGAACATGATAAGAAAATAATATAGCATTCCATAGAGGTAGTAATTTGCTCAACAGGATCGATCCGCATTCTAATAAGGCCTCTAACAAGCTTAAGAAATGCAAGTTAAGCATTTCAGAGAGCTAAAAATTCAATTGTTTCTTCATGTTGTTGCTTCAAGTTTATTTTGAATGTGCCAATTTAAGAAGATAGAACTTAAATAATATTGAATAATACTTTGTACTCACAGCTTTCGAATAGGAAACGAGTTGCAAAATGCATGGCGTTATCTTCCCCCAAAATTCTAACAATATATTCATGGTAACATTATGGCTTTCGCTGTTTGTTGCATTATTCTTCGACATTTCTTCCAAATACATTGTCCAAAGCTAAAGTCAAAACGTAATGTTTCCTTAATGCAAATTCAGTAGAACTTATACGTGTAATATTTCACAACCTGTATTAAAAATATTATAATCTAAGATATAAATACTTGGCAAAGAATGAACGCGTGGAAGAGCGAGGACATGTGAAGGACCGAGGTTTTTGATTGTTCAGGAAACCCCGAGAAAATGACTTGTATGTGATCTGCGATGTGGCAAGATACTTCTTGAGGTATCGGTTGCGCCAACGGTACCGTTGAATGAGAATGACTGTTATTGTTGCCAGTATACATTGCTATATGCGTAAGTGATCCCAGTAACAGCCAGGATAAGAGTCTGATGTGGCCAATACAATCGACGTATTCGCGAGCTCTAAAACGTTTACATAAATTCAATTAGCTTCTATAATTGTATTAATTAGATAAAATCTTATTAATGGTACAAAATACAATAGAGATGACTAATAGTGATAAAAATAGCTTACCCTTGTTGTATAGACGGTACGGTGTATAACCACGGCAAGTAACGTGCTACGGCTCTGTTCTCTCTATTGTTGCCTCTCGTAATTTCTAAAGCTACGTATTGAGCAAGGCCACACTTTAACATCCCGCCTATCGTGTCCTCGTTTAATCCTGCTTGCATACCTTTGCTATAACTCTGAGAAAGGAAAAGTTCTTTAAGTGACGAGGAAAATAAATTTCGCAAAATCTTATTAACTATAATAGCGATTGATTTAGCACACGTGTGCGTATTAGATGTATTACCTTGATCTTACTTAAAGTATGAAAGTCAGTTAAAAATTCGAGGACATCCGATAACTGATTCTTTAAAGATTCAGAGGCATTCGTATTATAGATCGGCGACATGTCTGTTTGAATATTATTTTCCATTGCAATGACACTATTAGGCAAGGATCCTCCAATATCCTGCATTACACGTTATTATTAATATCCCTTTAATTTGTCAGTTCTTAATTACAGACTAATTAAATTATATCCGAAGTTCAAATGGAAAAGCTTGACATAATGTTATGAATATTACACAATTACTTACTTGGAGCACAAATTGAAGCAATAATAAAAAGTTGGAGTCCGGTATTGTAATTTTAAATTTAATGGCCTGAATTAATTCGAATACGATCGTCCTTCCAAAAAAATGTTTGTCACGATCACGAATAAACCCTCTATGGCACAAATAGCACAAGTCCGTTAAATAATTATATTGCAATGTTGAGTTTTGTATAGCGTAACTTAATATTTTGGAGAATGGATCCAGCATTCCCTAAAGAAATATTGAGATACAATTGAGATGCTAATTTGATTAAGTAAATTAATAAATAAATTACACATTAATTTCTTTTAATTAGTAATCCGAAAACAAGAAAGAAGAATCTTATGCAATTTTATTGTATTAAAGTACCTTCGATTGTTGAATTCCTGGAACTTTTAATATTGAAATCATAATTCGTAAGAGAGGAGTAATATCCTCGATGGAAGGAAGTATAAGAACGAGTCTTCGAAACAATCCATCAAATTGTGTCAGTAATCCACTCCATGTGGCCGCAGCAGGACCCAATCCTGCTTCCAATGGCAAACAATCCAAGTAACATGCTATATTATATAATATTATTGGCAGCCGTTCCAGAGGCAATGACTTTTTCATGTTTAACGTCTAAAAATTTTACAGGAATAAAATTAATATTCTTTTTAATACATTCTAACGTAAAAAATACACTCAGCGAGTTACAAAAACAATTAAGAATTTACTTTTTACGCGTAACATTTAAATTACTTTCTTACCTCAAGCAACAATTGCAATGGCGCGATTGGATTTAACTCGTTAAAATCGAGTAAGGCTTGCGCAACGCTTTTGAAAAACTGCAACCTTGTCGTTTCTGCAAGTTGAAAGAATAGAATGTATAACAATAGATAACAATAAAAGAACTTACTATTATTCGAAATATTTTCCAGAGAAATTGATGTTAGATAACAGCTGTATTCGTAAAATATACGTGACAATGATCAGAAAACCTTTTATAGTATACACTCTTAAGGCTCGTCTACATAACAAGGCGTAACAGGCGTAAAAGCGCAATCGCAGGCTCAAGAGAATTGTTCCAGATCGTAGTGTCGTGGCGTAACGGCGCAACGGAAATAAATTAATTTTATTTTCAACGGCTGCGCCCACGTTATACCAGTTGTTTTTGCTGGCGCGGTTATATTATACGCGATTACACACGGTTTGGATCCTTAGTAGAACATGGACAAGGAAAATTATTATCGAGACACTACCGTGTCTCCTGATAATAATGAGGGACGTGATAATAATGGATCAATAGGGAAAAATCTGTTAGAAGAACGTATGATATATACTCGTACATTCATTAACTTTGTGTATCCTAATACACAACTGTATATTAAAACGTTCGCTAGCAGATATAAAAAAATCACAGCAGTTTATTTTTCACCATCTCTTTGTATCGACGACAACAATGTTTAAACATTCGTACGCGTCTTGCGCTTATTTTGCGTCTGCGCCCTTTACGTGTAGACGAGTCTTTATAATAAAAATTTCAGAATTAGAAAAATTATTCTATTAGTCTATCAATATAATATTCTTACCGTTTAAATGAGTCTGAAACATTTGCATAAATACTCCATTAGGTGCTAATTGGTGAAGAACGCATCTGAGAAATTGATGCGCTACGCTGACCGCACTACCTGGAAGGTGCATATTCGTTTCGCTTTGCCAGGGATACATTGCATTAAGAGCAACCCTAGTACCCACAAGCAATACAATTAATACTTTATTTCATTAGCTTAAAAATGTGGTAAAATAAAATATAATATTTACTTGGTAACCACGCCGAGTATTTCCGGTAATAACGGTGCCGCTAAGGATGGCTCTCGATGAATAAACGTTCCCAAAGTTATTATACACAACCCAAGTTCTTCATCAGAATATTCTTCCCTTATCGTTCCGCACTCCGGACACCTGTAGTAATGTTATCAAATCACGTTCAGTGAGATGCTAATAATTTGGTTTAATAACATTTAATATATTAAATTATACCTATCGTAAATGCAATCGTCGCCGATGCGAAATAAACTTTGCTTTAAATTAAAATCCGCATGACACGCTTGTTGAGAGACAAAATCTAAATTTTGTTGGACTTGTGGGCCAGACCTATCGAGACAAATATACGCAAATTAAAATGTGCTATCTATAATATGTATTATCCGTACAATTTTGTTATAAAAGTACTAATAACATAAGGAATTTACCAGGATTCCATTCGTCTCGCGTGAGAAATCATATCTTGATCCGTTATAGCAGTGATTTTCCGTGCTCTGTCACGTTGAATTCGAAATTGATCCTTCGACTTAATCTTCTGATCATGATCTGCTATCTTCGAGACGAAATCTCCGGGATCGATCGCTGGAGGAGACGATTCCAAAGCCACCTGTTTAATTAGTCTTCTCGGACTTGGCGATCTACTCGAATTAATTTCATTGCACGTTGGTACGAGTGATGTTGACTGTGCATAATAAATAGATATTTTATTTTTACAAATTTATTTTGCTTAAAAAAAATAAGTATCTATTTCGCGCGTTCGTAAATCACGCGGGATTATAAAAGAATCAATAAATAATGTTTTTACCACATTATCAGATGCTCCACTATCCTGTTTCGTGAGTGTTATACCATGAATGTCACGTTTTACATCTTCGTTCAATTTATTATTAGTATCTAAAAGAGAAATATTTCGGAGTTTCTGATTGTGACAACTTTTATTAAAACATTATGCACGCGTGAATATTTGTTATCGG